CCTCTCCCCCTCCCCCCCTCTCTCACACACACACACACACACACACACAGAGACACACACTCACTCACACCTCCAGCACGCTCACACACACACACAGAGACACACACACTCACTCACACACACACACAGAGACACACACTCACTCACACCTCTAGCACGCTCACACACACTCTGATTCTGGACGGTGTCTCGGAGACCACAGAAAACACACTCGAGTCCAGTTTATTTCTGAAGCGCTTCACACCATACAGACCGTTTCAAAGCAGCTGCAGAGCGATAAACGGCAAAAACCGTCACACTGTTGTAAAATACTCTGTTTGATTTCACTTATAATTACATATTTATAACTGACTGGTTTCTGCAGACCAGTCCAGTTCTTCCACACCGACTCAATCAATCATTTCTTTTTAACCTTGCCTTATACACAGAATCCTTTCCAAACTGTTGCTATAAAATTAGAAGCACACAATTCCCTAGAATATCATTAAATGCTTAAATATTAATATTTATACTCATGGAAATTACTAAAGTAGTCAAACCTGTTCATTAGAAGGGGGTGCCAATACTTTTGGCAATATAGTGTATATACACTCACACTGATCTGGATTCATGAAACGGTCACACGTTTGATTCTGCTTTGGTTTCTCCTTCAGGACTTCAGAGGTCGATTTATCTGTTCCATAAAGGCCCCGCCTCCAACAGGAAGTGAGTCTCAGGAAGCGGGCCGGCCGGCGTTGGAATCATCATGTGATCTTCTGCTTTAACACAAACACACGTGGTTTTGTAGCGTTGTGCTTCTAAGGTTTGTTTCTTCCTGTGCCCTGCGGAGGGAGGGCTGGACTACTTCCTGTCTGCTCCGTTTTTAACCGATATGCTGCAGCGGTGACTGTTTGACCTCTGACCTCCGACGGGCCGTGATTGGTGGCTGGGCGTCAGTGTGTTCTGTGTGACACAGACTGAGGTTCATATCTGATGCGTCTGATCTGAGACGCTTCCACGTGTCAATAAATCTGATGTGCTTCTCATCTCTGAAATATGTTTGTGTGTTTCTACCCTAAAGTTTGATAATGAGTGACGAATCTCTCCGTGATCATTCTGTATGAATTTCATGAATTCTGAATGACTTCCTGATATTTTGATAACTGTCTCCGTGTTTTTGTCCATGTAATGAAAGTTAATGGGGTCCAAACCTAAACTATTATTTCTGCAGCACTTTATACAACACAGATTGTTTTAAAGCAGCTTCACAGAAATAAACCGCAAAATAAGAGGATAGTTCACTCAAACATTTCAATTAGTCTTTCACTATTAGAACAGCCATTCACTGCCATTATAAAGCTTGGAAGAACAAGGATGTTTTTTTAATATAACTCAGATTGGATTTGCTTTGATGGTGAGTAAAGCATCATTATTCAGATCAATAAAACAGCGTCTGGTGGTTAAACGGCCTGTTGTTAAAAATAGCTGCATGACAGTCCAGATGAGTAAAGATAGAAACACTAGCAGGTCTATACAACCTGTTTGAAGACTGTGTGTGTGTGTGTGTGTGTGTGTGTGTGGCAGCAGAAAACACACACTCGTGCAGATTCCCTGTATAGAAATAAATGACTGACACATGGACACTGGGTATAAAAGCTGTTTACCAAGTCAACCTTCAAGGGGCGGGTCGCATTTATTAAAACTGCTACAACTCATGAACGGAGTGAGATATCTTCGCCAAACTTAGAACGCTTATGTAAGAGCTGACTCTGAGGTCATGTGAAAAAAGTCGCGAAGCTTGGACAATTGTTGGCGCTATAAGAGAGAAAAAACATGCAACTGGCCATAACTACGCAGCCATTTATCCTATTGACGTGAAAATCGGTGTACGCGGTCTTGGTCCAAAGTGCCACGAGTGTCTATAAGGACATTTGCGTATCTTATTTTAAAGATCTGAGAGAAATTCGAAAGAAATTGGCCACTGGGGGGCGATATTGCATTTTTCAAGGGTGTAAGCGATTGTACGCCGCGCGGTTCTTCGCACATATGCACAATATTCGTATCATACGATAGACCTCCTCATCCCGAACAACTTTGCCTCTAGAACCACTGCTGTCAATCAAACCGTTTGTTAAATGATTGAGAAAATGCAAAAAAAACTAACTACTCCTAGGTTTTTCGCTCAATTTGGAAAAAAAAACACTGCAGTACAATTCTCTAGACTCTGTAGGTCAATTATTATTAAAACAAATGTTGAAATGTACTGTTAGGGAAGCTATAACGGGTCATTTAGAAAACGGGCCTGTCCAAATATACCCAAAAGCTTATAAAGCCTAACGAAAACTGAAACCTTGACGAAACCTGGTGAGCACATGCTACAGGTGCTTCTAAACAAGATGGGGCCACAGCTGGTGCTATTACAGTCATCAACATTAAAGCATATGGTAAATTACCTGGATTTGCCAAAAATGCTTTTAAATAATTGATTTAGGTTGTTACAGGCTTGCTAAAGAGTATGTAATGTCTTTTTTCAGATGTGCTTAAATGCCTAAAAGCGCATGAACCCTGCTGAGTTGCGTGTGTTTGTCCTTTAGTCACGAGTGCTTCCTCTGCTGAGCAGAAAACAGCTAAACCCTGAGCCACATCTCCAGAGACTCCGTTCACTCCAGACACGGAGTCCTTCACACTCACACTGTGCTTGATTGACAGAGGGCCAGGTTGAACTACGTTTCCCAGCAGGCTGCGGGGCAGAAGCTCAAAGCCCTAAAGAGGTTTAAGTTCAGAGGATCAAACGACAGCTGGAGACGGAAACACAGCAGAGAGAATGACAGCCGACATGCCTCTCAGACGAGAAGGTGAGACATTCAGCTCTGTGTGTGTGTGTGTGTGTGTGTGTGTGTGTGTGTGTGTGTGTGTGTG